TCGTTTACTTTGGGGGATAGGGACAGGATAAGGCAATTAATCCGCGTTATCCTACATTTACTTCCGCGGATTGGGACGGGATTTGAGTGACATGGCGCCAACGTGTCAAATTCGGATCTGCCAATTTCAGATAAAAAAATCTGGCCCCTCCCGCGTGATAAAATTGTCCAGATTTTATCTTGCCCATCCTACCCTCAAAAAGTGAAGCCAAAAGACGAGAATACCCTTCCATTTGCTGAAATTTACATTTCCATACCATTTAAAAGGACAAAAGTCGGCCATTGAAAAATTGCCCTAGTTTTCTCTCGTAAATTTGTGACGCCATTGTTGCTGTGCTTCGTCTTCTCCGTCGGCTAACAGATGAGCAGATTAGTCGCCCTTTTAACCTACTCCATTTCCAGTTTTGTTAATTACTATCTGTTCTTCGGACGATTCGTGGCACAAATTTTCATATCGAGCATTTTGCCCTAATTTCTGCAGATAAGTACGACATTTCGTGAAGCTACAAGATTCGGATTCTCCGTCGAGACCGGACTAAAGGTGAGCTTGAAATCGATATATTAACCTTCTTCATTTCAATTTTGCCCTAATTTTGTTTGTAAATTTTGCCCTAATTCCGTTCCTCTGACTCGAAATTTGTTTGTAAATTTTGTTTTTGTTTTTTTTTTTCCAACACCAGTTGCCAATCTCTCCCCAGTCTTCTCCGTGCCAGGTCAAGGTAAATAGCTTCTTAGCATTTTGTTGCTGTTTTGTCACGGTTTTGATATTATGTTCGCGACTCTGTTAATTGAGTTTACATGCTGAATTTTATGGTTTATAAGGCTCATGGTACAATGGTGATAACCATTGTTATCTGATAGGAAGTCCGTGTAAAAGAAAGAGTGTTTTGTGTTTTTTTGCCTATTAAGATGTTTTGTGGACTGTTAAAGTCATTGCTATGTTTTTCTGCTGAATTTGTGTGGCTTGGTGTTCAGAATGTGCTCAGAAGTTAGATTTTCGAACCCTAAATTACTTGTGAAAATGCTGAGTTTATTATTGTTCAAGGTAAAACAGAAAAAGGAAGATTTTGTGTGGTTTTGGTTTGATTTTGTTGTGAACATGCTGAAGCTGGTTAAGTGTGGTAAGGTGCTTAAGTTTGAATTCTGGTTTTGGTTTGAGGTAGGTTAGTTGTTATAAGCCATGTTTTGTGTAGTTATACCTAATGTGCTTCCCTATTGTTCTCTTCTTTGATGCTATCTGAAGCAGCTTAAGCCTTTTTGTCTAATATCCTTTGTCCAGAAATAATACAATGAAGTGCTACATGTTTGTACTAATCATGGTCTCTGAATCTATGAATTGCTTGATTTCTGCTTGTACAAAGTTGTTTGAATCCCTACTCAATGTATAGGTAATTGTAAGAGAAGCATGTACATTCTTAGAAACATAATGTCATAGAATACCTTCTAAAAATGATTGGTTGATTATCTTTATTTAAATCAATGTACACAAACAACAGAGCCTTGTGTCAAGAAGAATTGGATTTCCTTTTTTATTTTATGCTGATTGGTGACATTGATGTACCTGAACACATTTCAGTCTTCTGTTAACTTCTTTTGTGCTTATTTATGCCTTGTTTTGTGGACTGTTAAAGTCATTGCTAAGTTTTGCTGCTGAATTGTGTGGTTTGATGTTGAGAATGTGCTCAGAAGTTAGATTTTGGAACCTTAAATTACTTCTGAAACTGCTGAGTTTATTAT